ACTCATTGAAGCTTCAATGGTCTTCAAATGCCTTCAAAGCTCATTGACTCATTGATCTTCGAGCGCCTTCAAAGCTCATTGAAGCTTCAACTGTCTTCAAAACTCATTGAAGCTTCAATAGTCTTGAAACGCCTTCAACCTGTACTACGGGGGGGCCTCTCAGGCTCTCACTGCGGGGCCTGTATGCCCCGGGGATTGTGCGCCGTTGGGGGGTCCGATCGGGCAAGCTCCCCTTCATTATTGCAGCTCTATCAAAATCATTTTGCAAACATGGCGTTGGAGGCCATCGGTATAGGTTGGAGACCCATGTGATAGGCTGCTCTTTTGAACATTTTGAACCGGACCTCCGGTCATTGAAGAGTCCAAACATTCCAACACTGCAGGAATTGAAGAAATTCCCATGCAGCCCTTCTTGTGCCCGCAGGTGACAAATGTGAACCACACTCACCAACAAAAACTCCCCAATAAAAGCCTCTGTCCTTGCTTCATCAGCTTCTTCCCTCTGTGCAGCATCCTTTCCTTCGAGATCTCGTGGTCAATCATCACATCCCTGGGCACGGACCACGGACCGCGTCGGGCCGACTGGCGCCCAAGTCGCGAAAAAGGCCGCCTGTCGTGGCAGCCGGTGGTATTCTTGGAAACGGGCAAATACACCTGGCGCCGGTCGACGGATGCCACGTGTCGGACCGACTGAAGAGCTCGAAGAAATGGGGCACCGATGGAAACAGCGGCCCCGCCGTCGCGGGAAGTTCTTGTTTGGGGGTTCCATGGTTCAACAAACAAAGCAAGCAACAGCTGTTCAGAGGCAAGAATCTGAGGGTAACAGTTCTCAGGTAAAAGACATGCATGACGGTGAATCGTGCGTGATGAAGCCTCACAACCCTTTATGCTCTTCAATTCACAACTTCCCTAGGGATCCACATACCGAAGACAGTTGGGTAGGCTTTCAGTTTGGAGGGTCAAGGCCTAGCCTTCGTTCAGTGGTTGGAGCCACAGGGCTTCATCATCTCCAGTAACCCCCACGAATGTCGAAGCATCCATGCACTGACGAAACAATTAAAGCGCACGTATAGATAGATAGATAGATAGATAGATAGATAGATAGATAGATCTCTGACTCTCAAACACGACATACTTGCCAGCTTCTTTTTCAGGCCACAAAAGCGGTCAACACAAGGGTCGACCAGTGTGATGTCACTAAGTAACCAAAGTCAGATGATCTTTGTATCAAGGAAAAAGGTACAATTGAACAAATGCAGTCTTTGGAGTCTTTAAAACCTCGAGACTGCGTTGGCCCCAGTGCAACTTAAATAGGAACCCTCACCAAACGACAAGATATCATTCTTCCACAGGGAAAACAGCTTTCACCAACTAGCCTATGGTACATGCCTGTTTCCGGTGTTTTCTGCGATGAATTCATCTTACTGATAGCTCTCCATAGCTAAACAGCTAGTGTGGAACCGTCCAACTGCGGATGCTCCACCCGTCCGCATGACCTCTTGATGCTGCACCGGCTGCAGCCAAAAGCCCACGGAAGCATCCTCGGTTACCACCACGAGAGGTCAGCCGAAGGGAGGTGGGAGGTCGGAGAGGGAGGTCACGTGGTCTGGTCGGTAGATCTCGGAGGAGACCATCCATGGAGTGTCAGTGGATATGTTCTTACTTGCATGGATGGGTCACATTGAGCCACTGTATGGGGTCATGAACATGGAGCACTCCCCGGAACAAGCATGGAAGTGGATTGCATGACCCAATGGTGCATTTCCACTTCCATGTTGGCTCGGAGATTCGGAGAGTAAGTATTCCAGTCCCATGGATGGTCAGTGCGAGCCCTTTTCAAACCTTTTCAACCACAATGTAGCTAAAGAGGCGCAAAGAACTGTTTTGAGATCCCTGATCCATACCATCCGGTCTGGTCTTTGCATCTACTTAATCCGACTACTTTCCTTGTGCGGACCAGCTCTGTGAAAGGAAGGGTTCCGGAAATTTGCCCAAAAGGTTGGCTTCAAGAAAGCCTAAGGGTCAACGGTGCCCATACCGCCGATATCCATTGATCCAATCACTCGGATTCGAACCCGATGTAAGGTATGTAAGTCTCGAAGCACTCTTGGCCAAGCCTTCCTCTCCACCCATCTCCATCCCCAGTCCTCGTTGGCCAAGGCAGTGAGCTCCGGCAGCATGGGTGAGGTCTTGTGCGTGGCAATGTAGCGGCAAAGTGAAGGACTGAGGAAATACCTCGGCAAAGTGAGGCGACATCTGTTCATTTTGTTTCATCCGGATGCAACTTGAAGTACCACCTGAAAGTATCATACACAGCAAATCAGATTGATATGGGGACTAGCATAGTATCTTAGGAGGGACACATGCTTATTGACTGGGTCTTTTGGACACTCCGGAAACTCCCCCAACGCAAACGCTTGAGAGGTCACCGAAGCCCCTGCGCCAAGGGGCCCGAAGCCCCCTGCGTAATGGGGAAACCGCTTGTGCCCAGTGAGGTTCCTTGGATTGGCGAACACGCAGCCTGGCTGCAGCCCTGAGTCCCGAGAGTCTCACGCTTCGTGCCATTGTCATAGCATGTATATACATACTTGGAGACACAAAGAATTTGATGTGTATATATATATATACTGCAATTATATAGATTCATGTGATCGTTTTTGTTTGAGGTGGAACTTATCGTTCAAAGTCATTCTAAATTGCCACATTACATTACATATACATAATAGCATTGTATATTGTTGACTATATAATACTTCAAAAGTGACAGGGTTATCGGAATCGGTTTTGAGGTGGACCGTTGTGATTTACAGATTTTTTGTGGCTCGTATACTACTGTAATATATCGTATCTGTTCTAACACCAATTTGACCATTTTCACCTATGTTGACTTGTTCCAAATCTGAGCGCCAAAAGCAAAGGCTGTGTAGTGGTCCGAGTCCAAATCAATTCTACAAAACAAATTGAACATCCTATACTCTAGAACTTCTTCTTGGGCCTTGGGCAAACATTTCCGCCTATATGATGGTTAGAGGCGCCTGTGTGCTTAGGTGTTCTTGTTCTTTTTGGAGGCAATGCTCAATTAAATAAGGATCCACGCACTTCTGGTTTCAGGAACTCCCATAGTAATGAAGCACACCCTACAACCAGGGCCTTGAAGTAATTGTATACATTGTTTTATCTTGATGCTTCGCTTTGGCATCGTCCTGTACATTCTTAGTGTTTCTATGTTTCATTGCTTCAATATCTTTCTGGGTAGGCGTTCTTCTCATCACTCAGAAGTTGTTGTTTTCTTTTTCCGTTACTTAGGCGTTCTTGCCCGTCACTTTGGCGTCCGTACTTGGTATATTGTATTACAATCAGTGGCTTGGGTGGACAAAGGAATCATAGCTCTTGGGGGAGTGAGCGACCTCAATTTCAAACATTTAGTTTCCCAAACACTCTTTATTCTTGTCTTGCCTCCAAATGCAGCTGTGATTGTGCCTCGGCATTCTTGGCCCTCGAGGCTGCAGCTTCGCCATAAAAACTCTGACGCTTGTGAAAACAGGCAACAAAGTCTATCAACTTCTGTCTACCTAATAACGAAGCTAGAAAGAACTGATTGCCTAACGAGGCTCTAAGTATAAAGAACTTACCAACCGTAGAATCATACTTCAAGGATCTTAAAGGCGCAACAAGGCATACCCCATGCACCCTGTGACTCGCCATACAAAAGAAACAAAACCACACACCTTTATCCCAACTAGCATCGTGTAGTGCAAATCCGCCCACTTGGCGTGCCGGTCCTTGAGATTCACCTCGGAAGCAGGCAGCGTGGCCGGAGAGGTGGGTCATTGGTAGCATTCACATGAGCGTCCACGGTACTAGTAGCTGTGAGGCCAGTCACGGGAAGTTGTAGGTTGCTCTAAGTGTAGCATCCGATTGAAACCTTTTGGAAACCGCTGTCGTTCGCAGGGCGGCCTGCTTTTTACGCCCTGCTCATCGCTCAAAAACCCAGCCTCTTGACTCTACGTCCGATCCTGCAAGGGACGGTTCAGGTTTGGTTTTAGATCGCCCATCCTCCGCCATCCACCCGGTTTTGGCGGATACCACCGTCTCTGCGGAGTACCTCCACCCCGTCTCTGCGGATACGCATCCCGTTTCTGCCCAGGCTCGATGGGCTTCACACGTCGGATGAGCCCACCTGGCGCGCGGCGAAGAACCAGGGGGCCGAGATGGCGCCGGGCGGCGAAGAACCAAGTGAGCCAAGTAGCCAAGCATCAATGGGGCATCCGGCCTTCACATGACCTTCTACTTAGCATGAGCATGTGTGTGTGTGTGTCAGGTTGTGAAACAAGCAAACTCCTATGATAATCAACAGAACTGACCTTGAAGGCCTCTCGTCCGACAGCCCATGAAAGTACATATATCGCATGGACTGAGGCAGCCATCTTAGTCCCAAAAACACCCTGCCTTTCACCCCAAACCTCTGAAAAAGCACGTTTCCGAAACTGATAAACTATGGATTTGGTCGATTTGAGGCCTCTCTATAATCTCTATACTGAGCCTCTCATTTCCAGGTGTTGGACTGCAATGATTCAAGACGGACCGGACGATGGCAGCCTGCATAGAGGTCTTGCTGCTCGAAGAGACTTTTCTGCTCCAAAGTTCGGAGGACACGATCCATGAAGATGAAAGAGTCCGTGTCAGCCTGAAGACGAAAGACTCCAAGACCACTGGACTGCAAGTTCTGCAAATTGCATACATACGATCATTTATATTAACGTCTGAAATCCCAAACCACTGGTACTACAAGTTCGGGTTCTCACCGTCAGTGGGAAGCAAGATGCTTGACGTACCACCAAATGACATTGGCATACCACCCTGCAGTAGACAGAATGCCCACACCACCAACAGCCGCTTTTTCTGGCGGCGCATCCCTTCATCCAGCAAGTTCCTGAACACGAAACAAACGGACTGGTTCCGGCCTTCAGCAAAAGCGCAAAGCGGTAGTTTTCCAGCGCATACGCGATCAAATTCCTGTGTTGTTGTTGCGCATCTGGTGAGCGTATGGCAGTAAATTACTTACACACCAAGAGTGTCAATAACTGAGTCCGGAACTCCCTGCAAATCATGTGAGTCATCACCCAGTGTGGATGAACCAGAAGGATGAAACCTGCGAACCCAGACCTCCTATAGTGGTTTCAAGGGCACGCAAGTACGCACAAAAGAGAAACTAGCCTAAATTATTGCCAGCACCACGCACAGGTTGTTGTTGTTGTTGTTGCATTGTGGGATGAAAACAACATGGTCATGAGTCATGGTGGTCCACAACCCATTCGGTGGTGCTGGTAATTGCTGGTATGACATACACTAACCCAGCTTCACAACCAAACAGCAAACAGTAATAATTGGCAAACTCGCACATCTGTCAGGTGAGGCTCTCTAGGTTTTATGATGTTTTATGAAAGGTGCGGCTCGCTCCTTCCTTCCTTCCTTCCTTTCCCTTCCTTCCTTTCCCTTCCTTCCTTTCCCTTCCTCTTCCTTTCCCTTTCTTTCCCTTTCCCTTCCTTTTCCTTTCCCTTTCCCTTCCT